GAGCTAAAGCTGTAGAGGACAAATGAAAAGTTCTAACACCCTCTAATCAGGGTTCGAGGAGCATAGAATAGAGTAGAATAGAAGCTGTCTTTAGTATGTGAAGATATAATGGGTGAGCATATTCTGGAGCTACAGAAGATCATGAATACACAAATAAAACAACAAATTACAAGCAAGATAAATTAAAATTATAAGTAGAGATATTATAGAAAATTGCAAAATACTGAAGATATTGTAAAAGCAGTCAGAGACAAAAGACCAGGATCCTAGCATCACGAGACCCCCAGCACCACAAAAATAAATAAATAAATAAATAAAAACAGCACCCTCAGCAGAGCCATCTTGCTTCTTAGCCAGAGTGCACCAGTATCCTAGCAATAAATCTCCCACTAGCAATAGCAGAAGGCTAAATATCTTGAAAGTGCTGAAAGAAACACATCAACCTAAAATAATGCTGTCAGCAAAAATGGAGAAAGTTTACAGAGCAATAGGCCCACACCCAGGGAACTTCTGAAGGATGCACTTCAGGAAGAGGGGAGCAATCCCAACAGGCAGCAGGATGGGAGAAGGAACAGAGCAGATAAACTGGTAAACATGTGGATAACACAAGTGTGAACAGTCTATCGTAATCACTATGTCCAAATTTTAGGTTCTAACAAAGGGATGGCTCAAATATTGGACCACAGCAGCAAGTAGCTTGGGAAGGGGTGAACAGAGTTGATACTCAAACATCCTGGTATTTTTCAGTGGGGAGCATGATTAAAATAAAAGAAAATGAATATAAACCAGTAACCAAAATAGTAGAAGAGTACTAATCAAATTAGGAAAAACTCAATTTTTTAAACAGCAAGTGGAAAAAAAAAAAGATGAGTCAAAGAGAAAGACAAGTGCTGGGTGTGGTGGCAAACATCTCTAATCCCAGTGATTCAGGAGGCTGAGGCAGGAGCATCACAAATTCAAGGCCAGCCTCAGCAACTTAGCAAGGGCCTGTCTCAATAAAAAGGGCAATAATTACATTGTATATAAGTGAACCAAATCATCATTTCAGAGACATTGTAAAATTTAATTTGAAAATAAAAACTAGAAGCTGTCTATGTGAGACATATTTAAAACATGACACAGAAAGTTCAAAAGGAAGGAAAGTATGCTATGAAAAAGCCAGAAGAAAACTAATGTAGCAAGAAAAATAAGGAATTGCCAAGAAAGTAATACTAGGTTCGGTCTCATAGATGTGTGGGTATTTGTATATATATTTGTGTATTATGCACACACAAATGTATGTATAAAATTATACTAATTAAAATAACAGGAAAATAATAGAGGGGAGATCTGTACAGTAGAGCAAGCAGATCAGGGGAGAGAAGAAGGAAGGGAAAGGAGAGAGGTAGGAGGGAATGAGTTTGATCAAATTATGTACATGCTGATTGTGGCATAATGAATTGGGCACCAGTTTTTAAAAATGTATGTAATAAGTTGTCTACTTACTTATGTGAAAGGATGAGATTTCTCTCTGACTTTACCTTTTTTCTTTTTTTTTTAGCAGATTGATTGTTATGCACATCACATTCTGGTTTGATACTTAGGCAATAATAAAACTTTTTTTTTGAAGTAATATTAGTGATATAGAAAGCTACTTCAAAATTGTAATGGCTTTGACATAATAGAGAACAGTAACAATTCTAAATCAGAATATACCTAAGAAAATAACTTAACATATAAAGCGAAATTGATAGAGACAAATTGACTATTCCACATTCATTGTGGGAGCTCCCAACATGCCCTTCCCAATTATTAGTAGGTCAAGCAGACAAAAATATCAGAAAAAATGCTTTGCCAGGCACAGTGGCAAATGCCTGTAATCCCAGCAATTCAGGAGGCTGAGGGAGGAGAATCATAAGTTCAAAGCCAGTCTCAGCAATTTAGAGAGACCTAAGCAACTTAGTGAAACCCTCTCTCTATATAAAAAGAACTGGCAGAACATCCCTGGGTTCAACTCACAGCACCAAAAAAAAAAAAAAAAAAGAAAAAGAAAACAAGATTTGAACAGTATGAGAAACCAGGCACAGAGGTAGGCCACCTGGAGTCTAGCTACTTGGGGGGAGGATCCACATCTGAAGATACCAAGTATATTTTATTAGACAGATGTAGACTCCTATATCCATCAATTAGAAAAAACACACTTTCTTCCCCAGCACACATCTGGACAGTTGGTCATGGATTGGTTCATAAATCAAATCTCAATATCAATTTTAAAAAATCAGAATTTTACAGAACAGTTTCTCTGGCCACAATAAAGAAGTCCAAAGTAAGAAAATATTTTTAAAATCTGTAATAAATTAGGGTTACACAGCGACTATAACATCCCCACATTTTATTACATTAAACTATTAGGCTTTTTTGTTTACGTAATAGTCCTGTGTGGTTCTCCTGGCTCCTCCCCCAATGTGGCTCCTCTGTCCTCTTCGGGCCTCACCGTCTTCCCTATTCAACTATTCAATCTTTCTAATCCCTTATTGTTGATTTTTATGTTATTATAACCTTATACTTAATGTCAATCCAGTTTTTAAAATGTACAGTTCAACTTATTCACACTATTTATTCCTTTATAAAAGGCAAGATTTCAAGTAGGCTTCATGCATAATGTAGAGGCTAATATTTTCTGCAGTCCTTGGTTCCTGAAATAAGACTCATCAGACACGTTTTCAGCTGTCCAAGTGGGCACGAAGGATAGAATCTTTCTGCATGATGAGGTCCCCACTTAGGGGTAGGCACTCATCCTCATAAGGCAGTATGACTGCACTGTCTGAGCTCGCCTGAGGCTGTGTGCCTCCTGAAGTGAATATATGCCGGATATTTACTGTTGATTTTAATAACATGTTTTGAATTCTTTTCCATTTCATCAAAGTTTTTAACCATTTTGACATATATTGACATAATATTCATCTGAGCTAAATCTGTTCTTTTGTCCTTTTTGGCCACAGTCGTCCTTCATCTTAAGCCTTTCTGTTATTTTTTCTCTTTTATTTTTAAATTTTGATTTCATCTTTATTATCACTTTTCTGTTTCTCTTACAAATCTTATTAAGTTGTCTTGCAAAACTGGATTAAGGAAAATTATATAAAGTCTATTTTCTGTGCCAACCAAATGAATCTGTACCTTACTTACAGTTAGAAAATTATATTCTACAAACATAGTTGCTCTATTGTTTTACATTTTCTGATTTTCTTGCCTCTCTGCTAGTCAAGGACTTTCTGTCGAAGGGGTAGACTTCCTAACTCTTACATGGAAAAGGGAGTGTGTGGAATGTGCTGGCTCAGGTGGTTGGGGAGCCAAGCGTGGCGGGTGCCGATGTGCAGGGATGCAGTCTGGAATCTCAGTCGTGCTTTCCTCTGGGTCGGCTTCATCCTCAGGCAGCTTCCCCCTATGTAGTGGCACGATGGCCACCATCCAGTCTTCTACCTTGAAAGCCTAGCAGCCCCAAGGAAATCTAGGGCAAGTCCCAGAATTGGCTGTTTCAGCCTCTGGTTAGCCCCGCGACCATTCACTATGGCAGGTAGGGGGCAGCACTGTCTACTCCAGTCCTACCTTGGGCCCGAATGCGGGAGAGCTGGGTCCCCACTGAGAGGGGTATTTGAGTATGTGAAAGAGAGAATGAGGTAAGGGGTACAGGTAAATGCTGGGATTAATGTTAACAGAAAAGAGATGCTGGACAGGCAAGAACACCTAGTGCCCCAGGGTGTCGGTAAATCTTGAATTGGTTCCATAAAAGAGCAAAGCCTGGTGGTTCCATCAAGAGGTTAGGAAAGTGAATGGTAATGGAAGTATCGAAAGGTCACAGGAGGGAATACTGGGCAGGGGCATAGTGAAAATTTCCTTTCTACCTGAAGTAGTTCCTTGATCCACAGGGTGGTGAGTATAAATCATCTCCATGCTCTACCTGGTGTTTTATGTTCTGCCAACTGAAATTTCACCTTGAAAGAGATACACTTTTCACTAGGTACTGTATTTCCAGGAGTAACTATAGCCACTATTCACATGCAGCTCTTTAAATTAAATATAGCCAGGCATGATTGTGTACACATGTAATCCTGGCAACTCAGGAGACTGAGTTCGAGGCTAGCCTGGGCAACTTAGCAAGACCCTGTCTCAAATCAAAAATGAGAAGGATTGAAGATGTAGCTTAGTGGTAGAGCACCCTTGGGTTCAAGCCCTAGTATTAGGAAAACAATTAAATAGACATTAATTAAAATTAAATAAATTTAAAGATTCCATTTCTCACTCATGCTAGCCATATTTCAAGTGCTCAATAGCCACGTGTGACTATGGGATTGAACAGCTCAGAAATGGAGCATTTGTATCACTACAGAAAGTTCTACTGAAGAGCCCTGGCTTGGAACAGTAACTTGTTACCAGCAATTTGTTATTAGTGTCTTTTTTTTAAAATACTTATTTTTTAGTTGTAGTTGGACACAATACCTTTATTGTATTTTATTATTTTTTTAATGTGGTGCTGAGGATTGAACCCAGGGCCTCGAAGGTGGTAGGCGAGTGCTCTACCACTGAGCCACAGCCCAGCCCTTTATTAGTGCCTTTTTAGTGACAGTTACTCTAAGAGAATTGGCAAGAAATCTGGGTTGTGACAGAGGTGTGAGAAAAGCTGACGAGGCCCACCCCATGGCCCTCTTTCACTTCGCTAAAGGTCTTGACCTCCTTCAGACTTTGCTCTGGGTCTGCAGATGGGACAGCTGCTGCCACCACAGCGGGAGCCCTGGTTGTCCTTTTGGACCCAGCCCTGAAGGGCAGGCTGGGATGTGACCAGAGAACACCTAAGGGCATTGGCTCAAGAGCAGGGCGCCCTGAGAGGAGGCTGGTGGCAGTCAGTGCTCGCCCCAGCAGGTCTCTAAACGCCCGCCCTTGTCACACACTCCATCATCTCTCAGTGCTACATAACATTCACAAAACTGATGTTTTTTCCTGTTTTTTTTTTTCCCCTTCGATAGACCTATTCCCCTGTGTTCTGTTGTTGTGATAGACAGCCAACTTGATAAAGTTGAAGGAAGGAAACTGTTTGTTTCCTGTAATGTTCGAAGTGTGGATGAGAAGACCTTACACTCTGAGGCATCAGGTAAAAAGGGTGGGGTCGGGTTCTGTTTTGGCTTTATTGGATTTGATTAATTCTCTCGTTCACACAACAAATTAAAGGGTTTTTTTTTTTTTGGTTTGGTTTTTGGTACTAGGGATTGAACCTATGAGTGCTTAACCACTGAGCCACATCCCCAACCCTTTTAAAAATATTTTATTGGGGCTGGGGATGTGGCTCAACTGGTAGCGCGCTCGCCTGGAGTGCGTGCGGCCCGGGTTCGATCCTCAGCACCACATACCAACAAAGGTGTTGTGTCCGCCGAGAACTAAAAAATAAATATTAAAAATAAAATTTAAAAAAAAAAATATTTTATTTAGGGGCTGGGGCTGTAGCTCAGTGGTAAAGCCCTTGCCTTGTATGTGTGAGGCACTGGGTTCAACCCTCAGCACCATATTAAAAAAAAAAAAAAAAGAGATACTATGTGCTCATCTACAACTCAATAAATATTTTAAAATATATATATTTTATTTAGAGACAGGATCTCACTGAGTTGCTTAGAGCCTTTCCAAGTTGCTGAGGCTGGCTTTGAACTTGTGATCCTCCTGCCTCAGCCTCCCAGGCACTGGGATTACAGGCATGAGCCACCACACCTGGCTTGAAGGTATTCTTATACATTGCTGATAAGAGGCTATTTGCCAATATCCATCAAAATTACAAAGTTATGTGCCCTTTGGCCCACTTCCAGTATTTTATCTCACAACTATGCTAACATGTGAGCAAAATTATAATGTCTTAGGCTGCCCTCTAGTTCCAGTATTTGTTACATTCCAACATTACTTGCAAATAGCAAAAAGTTGGCAAAACATTAGGTGTCCCTCAACAGGGGACTGGTTGAAGAACTACATTTCATCCCTAAACTATATTGAGTCTGTACCATAAGAAATATTGTGAGGAACACTGTGGTAAGAATAAGGAAACTCTAGGGCACCTGCCTGTAATCCCAGCTACTCAGGAGGCTGAGGCAGGAGATCACAACTGCTGTCAGCCTCAGCAATTTAGAGCAATCTTCAGCAGTTTAGTGAGGCTTGGTCTCAAAATACAAAATTAAAAGGCCTGGGAATGTAGCTCAGTGCTAGAGCATTCCTGGGTTCAATCTCTAGTACCACAAAAAATAATAATAGTAGGGAAATTCTTTGATATGGAGCTATCATATATTAAATGAAAAACAGTAAACACAGTATCTTTTCACTAATATAGAAAAGAAGTAGAGAAGTTCTTCTCATTGCTTCCCCTTTTCTTTCACTTTCCCTCAAACTTTCCTTCCTGATTAATTTATTCCAAGAACCCTTAGGTAGAGTTGGGCATGAGCACTCGGGGACCAGAGCAGTTCAGGGAGGCGTCCCTTGGAGAGTGGCGTGGGTGTCGGAGCCCATGAGCAGTGCAGACGGCATCTGTATGAGAGCCAGTTCCTACTCTCAAGAGTCCAGGCATGGAAAAAGAGAACAGGATGAATCATGTGGTTACTTGAGACTGGAGGCCCTGGACATGTATTTTCCCAATTTTCGCTCTTGCAAATAGTATTGTAACAAATAACTTTATATATTTGTCATTTTATACACATTTTGCCAGATTGCTCTCCAGTGGTTTGAGGGGGAATACATGTTTGTACAATTCTCACATTTTTCTGTAATCTTGAAATTCTTTCAAAATAGGAAGTAATAAATGGAAAGGAGGGGAAGTATGCATATCCTGCATTTGCAAGGACTATCTCACCAAGGCTAAACACATGACTTGTTCTTGCTTGAAGGGGACAGTAGATTGGGAAGAAGATTCCTCCGTCTGCCCTTTTGTACCTTTTTTCCCCCCAGGAGTGGGGTTGGAACCCAGGGCCTCAAGCATGCCAGGCAGGCACTCTGTCACTGAGCTATATCCCCTGATCTTTTTTTTATTTTCAGACAGGGTCTCTAAGAGGCCTAGGCTGGCCTCAGACTGCCATCCTCCTGCCTCAATCTCCAAACAGCTGGGATTACATCTTTTTTTTTTTTTTTAATTTTTGGCCGTATAAAAGAAGTTATGTGCATGGGTTACCAAAAAGAGGAGCTATGTTTTACAAGGTTCAAAGCTCATGCAACTTAAGGAAAAAGAATTCAAAATTAGGTATAAAAATAAAATTTTATTTACAAGGAGAAATAAATAAATTCCAGAGTATTACTTTCATCTTAGAGGTGCCAGGACCCTTCCTGCTGAGATATCTGTAGGCATTTTGTCAGAAATCTCATGGAGAAATGTTTCCTGATGGCATCCTTAAAGCATTGCACAACTTGTAGCTCAACCAGGGCCTTTTGCAAGTGAGGGCCGATGAAGCTCTACCTTCCTTAGCATCAGACTTGGACAGGCTAGATAGCCAGTGGTTTTCATTTGTTTTTACTCTTCCTTTATTTTAGTGTACCTCAAATATACATCTTTAGATTAGTCATAATCCATGCGTTAGTACACGGAGTTGTCACTGGTTCTTGAGTGGTCATCTTTTATTTATTCATTTCCTAATATATTTCTGTGTTAAATTTAATAAAAAATGAAACACCCTGGGTCCATCAAACAGGAACCAGCTGGGCACGGTGGAGCACGCCTATGATCCCAACAGCTTGGGAGGCTGAGGCAGGGGGATTTTCAGTTCAAAGCCAGCCTCAGCAAAGGCAAGGCACTAAGCAACTCAATGAGACCCTGTCTAAAAAAAAATAAAAATAGGGCTGGGGGTGTGGCTTAATGGTTGAGTGCCCCTAAGTTTAATCCTTGGTCCCCCAACCTCAAAAAAAAAAAAAAAAAGAAACAAAACAGGAACAGACTCTTTTTTTTTTTTTTTTTTGAATTTTTTTTAATATTTATTTTTTAGTTTTCGGCGGACACAACATCTTTGTTTGTATGTGGTGCTGAGGATCGAACCCGGGCCGCACGCATGCCAGGCGAGCGCGCTACCGCTTGAGCCACATCCCCAGCCCCCAGACTCTTAAATAATATTTTGTCCCTACCTAATTTCTGTTTCCTTTCCTCCTCTTACTTCAACGTAACTCTGATCTAGAATTTTGAGTTTTTTATTCTCTTGTACCGTTTTGTTTTTATTTTTAAAAATTGTATTCAAGAACTTGTTTATGTGCTTTTAAAAATTTTTATCAAGAATATCTAAGGAGGCCAGTCACCGTGGTGCATGCCTGTGATACCAGCAGGTCTAGAGGCTCACGCAGGAGGATCGCAAGTTCAAAGCCAGCCTCAGCAACTTAGCAAGGCTCTAAGCAACTCAGCAAGACCCTGTCTCTAAACAAAATACTTTTTAAACAGGACTTGGGATATGCTCAGTGGTTTAGCAGCCCTTGGGTCCAATCCCTGGTATTAAAAAAAAAAAAAGATCTGAGGAATGTACTGTTTCACTGTTTGATTTTGAACTTTGTAGAAGAAATTGTGATGTTTCTGCTTTTCTGAGACTTTTGTTTTTCTCTGAGCTATATGTCACTGAGGTTCATCCATGTTGTTGGCTATGAAGTTCCTCATTTTTGCTGCTGAGTAATTTTCCATATGTGACTAGGCCACAGTGAATTTAACTGTGGGCCTCTTAACAATTTGAATGGGCTACTGCAAACACATACTTAGGAGTAGAATCTCTGCTTGTAGGGTGTGAATGTTCACCCTTACAAAAGAATGCCAACTTGTTTTCTAAAACTGTATCAAACTGGACTCCCACCAGCAATGTATTCTTGTGATCCCTATCCTCTCTAGCAGATGGAGAAGTAAGACTTCTTGATCTTTGCCAATTAAATGGTGATAACATATGTCAGTATAATCTTTCTAAGATGTTCCTATACGGCATTATAGGCATGGATGACAGTTGAGTTCACCTGACGTGATCATGCCTGCATGGGCTGTAGAGGGCTCCACTTCAACCCCAGCACTTTCTCTTTCCCTCCCTCCCTCCCTCTCAGCGTGATCTTGATTTGCAGTTCCCTGACTACCCAGTAGGGTTGAGTATCTCCCCATGTTTATTGACCATTTTTGTTTCCCATTCTGTAAATTTGTTTGCTCAGCTTCTTTTTCTATTTTTTCATTTTCCTATTTATAGGAGTCCTCTATATATTTCATATTAGATAATACTTTTGATGAATATATATGTTGCTCATACCTCCTTCTGGTATGTAAGGTTGTTTTGCTTTTTTTATTTGCTTTAAGATATCTTTTTATAGACAGGAGTTTTTAATGTTAATGTAGTCTCATTTATTAGATTTTTCCCTTGATGGTTGATGCCTTTTATATCTTCACAAATTCATTTTCTCCCTAAGTATCAGCTGTTTGCAGGAATGATGGATGAAAGGAGCAGGAGGGAGATCGTGAATAATTTGAATCCTCAGTCAATTTATAACTCCGTTCCAGGCTGTAGCTTGTAATTCCTGTCTTGCTAAACCTTTCCATATCATAAAGGTACCAGATGGCTCAGTAGTAATTTTACTTCTTTTCATTTCCCTGGCTATCTCTAATGGAAGTGGTAATGAACCATGAAATAGCCAAGCAGCAGAGGACCTGGCTATCCGGGGGAGCTCATACAGTATTGTGGCAGTCAGAGGTTGATTCTGAGCCTGGCTGAGAAGTGAGAATGGGCAAACAGACTGAAGGGACAAACAGGAATCTGACCGACCGCCTCCCTCCTGTGCGCCTTTCTGTTTAGAGGTAGGCTCATCAAACTGAAGTCAGTTGACTTACGACTGTTTCTGCTGTTTTGTTGGTTTAGCCTTATTTATAAAGCTGGATCCTGATAAAAGTTTAAGGAAAAAGCGCTAATGATGGATTCCACACCTTTCTGCACGAGGGCCTCCCTCCTCCAGAAGCCGTTGTCCCCACTCCTGCTCCGTCACCCATGCTGAATCCCCCACAAAGGAAGCCTGCTGACACTGACCTTTTGGCACAGCCTTCGAAGTGTGACTCCCAGAACTCTCCACCATCTCAACTTTTGAGCAAAGAACATTCCCTGTGAGGATATCAGCGATTCTTTGCATTCCTGAGGATAAATGTGGTTCTCCTAAATCTGAACAGGCTCATTAAAGTTGCACAAGCACGACATCTGCCCTGCTGGAGACTGGGAGAAAAAAAGTTGTATTGAAACCGTTGCTGTAAACTTCAGAATACTGCAGCCAAATGAAGGAGTAAATGTGTGGGTTTGTGTGGGGTGGGTACATGTGGAACTTGCAAAGCTAACTTTATTGAATCTGAACAAACAAACCTTTTCGGCCAGAGTAGGAAATACAACTGGTTCCTATAGGAATGGATACCTCAAATCTGTGGTCTGGGGTTCTGGAGATTAAACCACTGTACCATTTTTAACACAGGCTGTGCTGTTGTGTCATCCTGGAAGAAGCCTGTATTCGTTCCCTGGGACAATAACAAAATGCTACACACTGGACGGCTCAAAGTCCAAGATTCGGGTATTGAGAAGACAGTGCTCCTCTGCAGGGGCTAGGGAAGCGGCTCCTTCCTGCCTCTCCTAACTTCTGCTCACCTTACAGTTAGTCCCCTGTGTCTTCACATCCCATTCCTCTGTGCAGATCTGTGTCCACATTTCCCCTCTTTATAAGGACTCCAGTCATATTGGTAAAGCCCACCTGAGTGACCTCATTTTATTTTTTTTTATTTTTTATTTTTTTTTTAAAGAGAGAGTGAGGAGAGAGAGAGAGAGGAGAGATAATTTTAATATTTTATTTCTTAGTTTTTCGGCAGACACAACATCTTTGTTGGTATGTGGTGCTGAGGATCGAACCCGGGCCGTGCGCATGCTAGACGGGCGCGCTACCGCTTGAGCCACATCCCCAGCCCGCAGTGACCTCATTTTAAACTTTGTTACCTCGGTAAAGATCCTATTTCCAAATAAGGTCACATTATAAAATTCTGAAAATTAGGACGTAAACATTCCTTTCATAGGAGGAGAGACAATTCAACCCCTAAAAGAGCCTCAGACAAGACTGAAAATGAACTGTGAGGTTAAGACTCTGGAAAACACAGCCTGCTTCCTGATGCAGGCAGTAAGTTCTTTGGGCTTGTTTCTTGCCTTTGTTTCCACATATTGAAAGTTTAGGCTGAACCATTTTTAGACGTGGTCAGATGGTCACATACTGACAGTTTCCCATGGCTCAGTCTAGTAACTTAGGAATAGCCTGGGGGTACCCTACTGGTCATTCTTCCACAGCCAGAAGATCACCTGGAGTCCTGGGATGGCCACACCAGAGGAAGTCCACAGTCCTGGAAGCTGTCTCTAGTGCCCACCTGCAGCCCCCCAGCTGCAGCAAAAGCCCAGCAGATGTAGGTGGGGCAACTCAGAGGTGAAGCAGGAGCTCCTTCTCCCCCGAAATTCCTGGAGAGCTTGTATGCTTAGAGGTGATTAAAATGGTTAATTTAAAGTTCTATATGTATACAAATCTGAAGTTTTATATATACATATAAAATTTTAACTACATATATTACATATTTTTTTAACAACAACTTTAAAATTTATCAAGCCAATTAATTGTACACTTGGCCAAATAGGAAGCCAGAGAGGGCAGACGGGGGCCAGTCTAAAACAACCCACTCTCAAGGGAACCAATTCACTGCAAGAGACCAGCATCAATCCCTTCCAAAGGCAGTGCCCCCAGTGACCTAATTATCTCCCACTACCCCTCTCCCTTAAAGTTTCCACTCCCCTCACACGCCACGCTGGGCACCCAGAGGCCAGCTTTTGGGGATACACTCAAATCTGAACCAGAGCAAAAGTTACCAGGTAAATGCTATATGTGTTTAATGTTATTGTCACTATTGTTTTCTTCTACCCACATGGATTTGGAGCCAGGTCAGCATACTTTTAAATCCATGAAGTACATAAAAATGTGTTATATGTTTGGAGCTTAAATATTATAAACATAGCTATAGTCAAGTAACTTATATCTGGACGCGATGACACACATGTAATCCCAGTAGCTCAGGAGCCTGAGGCAGGAAGATTGCAAGTTCAAGGCCAGCCTCAACAACTTAGACCCTTTTTCAAAAAAAATTTTTTAAAGGGCTGGGGATGTGGCTCAGTGGTTCAATCCCTGGTGCCAAAAAAATAAAGGAACTTATAAACCAACCAAGATCATCATAATCAACAGAAAAAATGCCTCATGAATAAGTACTTCAAAACATTTTCCAAGAGATTCTACCATTTCTAGTTGACATATTCCCATTTCTGACTCCACTAGTGAAATCATGCCAGCCAGGCAGAAGAACAGGCATAGCCAAGTGGCTCTTTTTCACACACGGGCCCTTAACTATGGTATGTGAGCCTAGAGAGGAAGTACAGAGGTGAGAGGGTGTTACGGCTTGGATATGAGGTGTTCCCAAAAGCTCCTGTGCTAATGCAGGAGTGTTCAGAGGCGACATGACTATGAGAGCTGTAACCTAATCAGTCCGTCTAGTTTGAGTGGCTGACTGGGTGGTAACTATGGGCAGGGGCGGGCATAGCTGGAGGAGGTGGGGTCTGGGGCATGCCCTGGGAGGATCCCGTGGCCTGCAGCCCCTCTCCTTTCCGTCCTCTGCTGCTTCCGTCTGCCATGCTCTTTTGCTATGAAATGCTGCCTCACTTTGGGTCCAAAGCAATGCAGTCAGCCCACCATGAGCTAAATCTCTGAAACCAGGAGCCAAAATAAACTTTCTCCAAACTGTTTATGTCAGGTACTCTGGTCACAGCATCCCAAAGCTGACCAACCCAGAAGACGATGATGTGCACCAGGATCCTAGGGTCTTTCTAAAAGAAAAAGGAAGAGATCTCAATATTCAAAAAATTGAAACATCTTCAGAAGTACCTAGCTGGCATGGGGGAGGGGGGGCAGAAAGAGTGGGCAAGAGTCAGAAGAAGTTTGGGAGTCAGGGCCATGAACTGGCCCTAAACAACTTAGCAAGATCCTGTCTCAAAATAAAAAAAAATAAAAATAAAGGGCTGAGGATGTGGCCCCAGAACACTGTTCTTGAATGGGCCCTCAGCCCTTTCGGGGGTGGCTTTGCAGCTCATATATCAAACCAGGGGTACCTTCTGTTAGGTCGGTATTCAAACCCTGAATGTTTTTTTGTTTGTTTTTGTAGTGTTTTGTTTGTGTTACTCAGATTAAACCCAGGGGCGCTCTATGCCTGAGCTATATCTTCAGCCCTTTTTATTTTGAGACATGGTCTTGCTAAATTGCCCAGGCCAGCCTCAACTTGCAATCCTCCTGCCTCAGCCTCCCAAGTAACTGGGATTACAAACACACATCACTGGTACATGCAAAATTATGAATAACACTAATGAAAATGAGGGTCTCCAAGGGCTCCCTAGAAGACATGCCAGGCCTTGAGCTGTGACAGTTCTCTGGTCTCCTGTAAGCTCTCACCCATCTGCATCCACTGCCTCCATCCAGAACAGGCCATCTTGCCAAGTGATGAGGGGAAGGGAGAGAAGAGGGACAAAAGCTGAGGCATGTCAACATGGACATTAAAGATATTTTGTTTTGGCAGGGATAGGTACCAGGGATTGAACTTGGGCACTCAACCATTGAGCCACATCCCCAGCCCTGTTCTGTATTCTATTTAGAGACAGAGTCTCACTGAGTTGCTGAGCACCTTGCTATTGCTGAGGCTGGCTTTGAACTCCTGATCCTCCTGTCTCAGCCTCCTGAGCCATTAGGATTACAGATGTATGCCACTACACCCAGCTTAAAGAAAAATTTTTATGAGTAAGTATGAAGTAGAGTTAATGCACAGCCTTTGCTCAACACAGCTGTTAGTGTCGTGAGTAGTCATCAGGGGAGAAGCATTGTTAAGATTATGAAGGGGCTGTGAATGAAGCAAAGAAGAATTGGCCTGTTTTTTTTAATATTTATTTTTTAGTTGTAGTTGGACACAATACCTCTATTTCATTTATTTTTATGTGGTGCTGAGGATCAAACCCAGGGCCCTGCACATATGAGGCAAGCACTCTACCGCTGAGCCACAACCCCAGCCCCAGAACACTGTTCTTGAGCAGGTCAAGTCGACTTCAGTACAAGTGACTGTGAAACACATGATAACTATTACTTACAATGACAATTTGTTAGGCATTGTATAAGCACATTATTTGTGTCACCTCCTTTACTTCTTAGGTACTATTAGCCTCAGTTTACAGGTGCCTAAACTGTGTGAGGTTGAAGTAAATTTCCCAAAGTCACCCACCTACCTGTGAAGCAGCTGCTCATTATTGCCGTTTTGCAGATGTGGAAGCTGAGTCAAACCTGGGATTTGCATCCAGGTCCTTCTAACTCCAGGTTTCAAGTTTCCAACTCTGAGACTTACTATCCCTCTGTGATCATGCACTTGGGCACAAAAGTGTGTAATGGTGCCAGGCATGCAGCACACACCTGCAAGCAGGAGGATTGCAAGTTCAAAGCCAGCTTCAGGAACTTAGTGAGGCTGTAAACAATTTAGCAAGATCCTGTCTCAAAATAAAAAATAAAAATAAAGGGCTGAGGATGTGGCTCAGTGGTTAAGCACCTCTGGATTCAATTCCTGATACCAAAAAAAAAGGTATAAAATGGTATAATGGAGTAAGAAGAGAGAGATCTTGGAGAACAAATGTTTCCTTTAATTTATTATTTATTCATTTATTTTGAGATAGGATTTCACTCTGTTGCCCAGGCTAGCCTCAAACTCTTAGACCCAAGTGACACTCATGCCTCAGCTTCCAGAGTAGCTAGAACTACACATGGGCACACCTCTGTGCCTAGCCTGGACATTTCCTTTATCACTGTACTCATAGCCAGAGTTTGCAAACTTGAATTTTGAAAAAAATTGTTTTATAAAAAAAGATACCCAATTCAGAAATTTATAAAGTTTTGATAATAAAGTAAATTTTAATAGTGGTATATCATTAGTGTCCATTTTATGATCAGAAAAAAAAAACTCTGAAATAATACCAGTTACAGAACCAGGCATGATAGGCACACCTGTAATCCCAGCTATTTGGGAGGCTGAGGCAGGAGGATCATTAACTTGAGGTCAGCCTGCACAACTCAGCAAGACCCTGTCTCAAAAATAATAATAGCCAGGTACAGATGCACATACACAGCGACTTGGGAGGCTGGAAGCAGAAGGATTGCAAGTTCAAAGCCAGCCTCAGCAACTTAGTGAGGCCCTAAGCAACTCAGTGGGACCATGAAATACTTTTAAAAGCATTAGGGATGCGGGTGAGTAGTTAAGTGCCCCTGGTTTCAATCCCTGGTACAAAAATAATAATACCAGTCAGATAAATAAAAGTGTAAAGGACTAAGGGTGGGTGTCATAGAGCTGTAGCTAATTGTCTTTAGTTA